ATCACTGGTAAACTGAAGCGCTCTTTTAACTTAACCAAACGCATTCTATATGAGATAAATCAGATATACATCAAATAAACACAATATTACAACGTACAATTGCACAAAAGGCTGCAAACGAACAGCGCGCATCTGAAGTGTCTCTGAAGGAAATAATGCATTATTTATCGGCTTTAAGATATCGGCCAAATTTTCTTATCAGGCCGATACCGATAACAGAAAAAATAAGCATTTATCGGCCGATACCGATATGGTGGCCGATATATCGTGCATCCCTAGATCTTAGAATTAAAAAGTAGGTAGTCAGTCTTTCTTCTTTTTGAGCAGAATTAATCTCATTCTTGCCTGAAAGGCTAAATTAAAGTTCTGTCAAGAAGGACATGTTAGACCAGGCTCGACCGGTCCTGCAGAGTTTTGCTCCAAACCCCTATACAAACTCACCTGCCTGTTGCTTTCCAGTAACCCTTAGAACCATGATTAGCTTGTTCAGGTGTTTGATTAAGGTTGGAGCTGAACTCTGCAGGACAGCGACTCTCTAGGACCGAACTTGCCTACCCCTGCATCTAGTGGCACCAGGCACTCAAAGACCGGGACACTAATTAGCAAGAGTGATAGAAGTGAATGCAGTAATAGGGATGTTGAATTACCTGCACACTGGGCTGAAGTGGTTGAGGCTGCTGAGCCTGAGACACAAGAGATGTTGCCATCGTCTGTCCTGTGTTCTGAGAACTCATCGACTGAAGAGGGATGACACACAGGGTCAATACTCATTTCATGTTAGAATTTTCTCTTCTTATCCTAAATTGTTTGTTTCCATGTTAAAATGGGTTTTGTGTGTGGACACTAGATTTCATATGATTCATTGATGATGGCATGTACCAACCTGACTGCTAATGGAGGACCTCCGCTGTGATGTCATCTCAATGGCTGACACTGATTGGCGGGGGGGTGTGCTACGGTCTGTCTGTAGCTTTGTCTGTGTGGCTACAGACACACAAACATACAGTATATGGGTCAGTCATAGCACGGTGTAAACATCTCAATATGCTATGGCTGCGTTTTTGAGAACCACCTTCTGTCTTTGGTATGTAATACATACACGTGGGGTCCGAGACAGCGGTGTGCGAGGAGGATTTGCGGGAGCTCCGTGAGGAGGCGGAGGGTGTGCGGCTGTGATCGAATCGCTCTAGGGCCTCCTTCAGGCTGGAGGTGTTCAACTGGGACTCCGAGCCGGAGTCCTGAGACTGAGCAGAGTGAAACAGAGAGGGATTAATGGTTTGTTCTGGGTTCAGTGCAAGTTAAGATTTATCACAACAGCATCCGTGGAAAATCATTGATTATTACCATAGAAAATAATTTGGGGAGGGGCTTTCTTTAAAAAAAAAAAAAAGGTTAATTGAAAGGTTTATTAATCTAACATAATTATATAAATTATAAATAAATATAATTTATCAAATTAATATATTGAATAAATGTTGAAAAATACATATGAGAAAATACATAAAATACATATATAATAAAATATAAATGTTTTTTTGAATGATAAATTTAAATTATAAAAGAATTTGAATTTGTGTAAACAGTGTGACCCATAAATATAACTAAATTAATTAATAATAGTAATAATATTATTGCACTATATTTATTTCGTTTTTTAAATAAAATAAAGTGTGATAGTACTATTATATTTTAAAATAAAAAGGGAATATTATATAAAAATACAATTATTTTACTGTATTATTTTTATTTATTTATTTTGTTTGCAGAACCCCGCAGCACATAGCCTAGATTTATGCTTTCAGTTTGAATGGAAATCTTATACAGTATCACAGTTGATCTGAAATGCTGATTGTGCATTAACAGCTGTCAATCATGTTAGTACACAAATGAGTGGTCTGAACTTACTTACAAAGTGCATTTTTAATTTTGGTTGTGCATACAGCACCTGCTGCACACCACTTATATGCACCCCTGGATATTTTACATATTTGCCCAAAATGTAATAAATTATTAATAACATAAAAGTATATAAATCAATTAAATATTGAAAATATTAAATATTTAAAAATAAATAAATAAATGTAATATCAAGATGAAAAAATAAATATACATTAGTTTAAATCAATTTACTTAATGATATTTTACATATTTGTCTGTTATATTTGTAGGATGATTGGGAATTCAGAATTGAATAAATGATATAATCTTAACAAAATAAATGTTTTAAATCTATAGGAATAAATATTACACGTATTACACATTTAAATAAATCATAAAAATAAGCTATTTAAAAATATTAGTAGTAGTATAATATTAAATCAAATGTATAAAGTTTTTTTTGTGTAAATAAAAGTATACTTGCCTGTTATAATAAAGGCTAAATGGGGATTCAGAACTGAATTCAGTAATGTCTCACCTTGTCTGCTGAGATATCAGGAGGTGATTCCTCAATGCCCAGTTCCCTGCGCTGTTCAGCCCTCACTTCAGCATAGCTGAGACAAAAAGAAAACATCATTTATATAAATAAATAAATAACCCTAAGAAATTCTCTATAAACAGAAGCACCACATCCTGCTTTCTGCTTTATTATTCTGTGCCTGCTAGGATTCAGTGTAAAACCACTGGCAGAAGATGGCAGCCGTTTCTTTCTTGTTAGTAGTTCAGATGTTTCATGTTCTGAAACTCTCACCTGACCACAGTGTGTGTGCAGACGATGAACTCCGGCCGTGAGTTCCACTGGTGGTAGGTGATATAGTAGTGAGTCTGAAGCCAGATCCACTGCTGACCTTTAGTCAGGAAGCGGTAATAGCACGACTTCCCCTTACCATACTGCATCACTGCAGAGAGAGAGATATCTTATTATTACAAAGTCAAAACTCAAAACAGTGCCACTCATTCATTTCAAACAGTTGTCCATTTTTAAAAGTGGGGAGACACGAGCGCACACAAACAGTAGATGAACTCACAGTGTTCATGGCACTTGGCCAGAGTCTCCAGGTCATCCACATGATAGTAGTCGTATCCTGAAGTACCCAGAACCTCGAAGGGTAGGTAGCCTATGATGGGGGGTGCCCTGCAAAATACAACAACGCAACTTCACGTCATCTGCATACGTGTATTCAGTGGGGTCATTCTAAAAAAATATGGTGACAAATATATCCACTGATTTGAGTCAATAAAAATAATTCAAATGGTCAAGAAAATATATAAAAGGCATATTTCTATAATCTAACCATTTGTTACGTAACATTTGCACATTTCAACAAAACTAAAAACTACTACAAAATTATTTGAATTTGTCAAGTGTCTGAAAAAACCTGTGTGCCCTTTATCCAGTATAATACTTCTATGGCAAATATTGTTATTTATTTTTTTATTTTATTTTTTCCAGGTTAAGCATTAGTGCAAAGTCTAACAAGTGTGCTAAAAGCAAAACAAAATACATTTAATTAATACCGTTCTTAATGAATACTATAGATCCTGTTATCAAATGTCACAAACATGATTAATTATTGTTTAAAAAAAGTATTTTCAAGGTCAAAGCTCAGACTTCAAAGAAGCTGTTCAAATGTGCACATGGTGATTTTCCCACCAAATTAATCAAGTTATTAATTTTCATTTAAATGCATTTTTGTTGCAAATGTTCGAGTTGTAAATGTTATAGTTTACTGATTTTGATTGATTTATTGATTTTAGACATTTCTTTTTTTTGTGATTAAATTGACACCCCATTTAAAAAAAAGCATAACCATTATCTTCTTTTAGGAAAAAAAAGTTTACTTAATGACTAGAAATAATGTTTTTATAGAAGAAAACTAAACTGAACCGAATTCAAAACTTCTGCAACATCACTGAAAAAATTATTCATTGAATTTACAAATAAATTTTTTTTAAGGTAAGTAGCTGCAATCAATTTATTTTAGCTACATTTAAATAAACAAATTTAGTTGACTAACTTTCAACATTTTTTTTAAATGTAGCTAAAATAAACCGTTTGCAACCACTTACCTTAAAAAAATTTTTTTATCATTTTTTCAGTGTTCTACATTTTTGAATTCAGACCATCTATTATTTTAAACAATTGACCTTTTTAAAATGACTCGATGCCATTTTTTTTTGCAAAGACTGAGGTCTTGGAGCAGATTTTCAGGCATTCCTTGAGTCATATGAAAATGTTTTGGGATAAAAACAGCATAAAAAGATCTGAAGCGCCACTAGCTTCTGCTAAACAACTGATAATGTGGAAAATCTTATTCAATCACTTTAATATCTAGCATCTGTGCCGATTAAACCGAATCAGAGATTTGAACTAAATATAGAGTAGCACATCATTTTTTCAGTGTTCTACATTTTTTAATTCAGACCATCTATTATTTTAAACAATTGACCTTTTTAAAATGACTCGATGCCATTTTTTTTTTTTTTTTGCAAAGACTGAGGTCTTGGAGCAGATTTTCAGGCATTCCTTGAGTCATATGAAAATGTTTTGGGATAAAAACAGCATAAAAAGATCTGAAGCGCCACTAGCTTCTGCTAAACAACTGATAATGTGGAAAATCTTATTCAATCACTTTAATATCTAGCATCTGTGCCGATTAAACCGAATCAGAGATTTGAACTAAATATAGAGTAGCACCAGCACCAGCAGCTATTCTTCCAAAACAATTCATCTAAATTCAGTAAAACCCTTTCCAAGCATAATGGCATTATGTTTTTATAGGGAAAATGAGGTTCATGTTATTCCAAATGTATAAGCCTTTGAGCCTGTGGGCTGAACGTGAGCTATTGATTACTCCCAGTCATGCTAGTGCTAACAAAGTGCAAGCCTGAACAACAAACATCTTCAAAACCTGAGAAGTCTCAAGGGGAGTGTATTGTGACTGTCACAGGCTCACACAGCTTGAAGTGCAGGACTTCTCGAAAACAAGGTAATGTAAAGAAGTGACATTAAGACAGTGGTTCTCAGTTATTTTTTAACTCCAAGGCTCCTAGACTCCAAGACTTCTAGTGCCCCATGACTTTTCAATTTGTTAGTGATTACTGGAATAGGATTTGTGGTAACACTTTAGTATAGGGACCAATTCTCACTAGTAAGTAGTTGCTTATTAGCATGCCTATTATTAACATATTGGCTGTTTATTAGTACTTATAAAGCACATATTCTGCATGACCATATTCTACATCTCTAATCCTTCCCAATACCTAAACTTAACAACTACCTTACTAACTATTAATAATCAGCAAATTAGGAGTTTATTGAGGCAAACATCGTAGTTAATGGTTTGTTAATAGAGGAAACGGGACCTTAAAATAAAGCGTGACCGGATTTGTTTTAAAAAACATTTTATACTTACAATTTGTACCCCATAAGATATTTGACAGCTTGGCATAAACTAAAAAAATGTTAAACGGTTAAACTGTACTGCTGAATGGACTGACAGGCATTTATGGTAAACTAAAACATATTTGAATGTTATTTCTGTTGAAACTTGTATGGCATGTGTTAACTAATATTAATCATATTTATTCATTATTTTTGTAATTACACAACTGTAATGAAAACGCTGCAATTTAGTTTAAAACACTTCAAATATATTCACTTGTAATGTAATATCAAGTAACACTATAGTTAAAATTATAAACAAGTACTTAAAATGTGCTTTAATAAACACATCAACATAAGTGTGCATGGCAAAAGATTATTAAATCATGATGCTTTGTAATATATTTTAAAGTAAAGCTTTTAATTTGACTATTATGAAGTACACATTTTGAAAGTGTACTTTATGTACACTTAAGTGGTCTTTAATTTCATTAATATTCTGCAAGTATTTTTTTTATCATTTTAAGAACCCAATTCAATGTTTATTTAAGCACAGTTTTCTTTTTTACAACGAATGATTTGTTCCTTGCTATCTATTTTTCCAACTTTATTATTTTCTACTTCTGCTGCTTGTTTTATTCTTCTGTTCCTTTTCTTTCTTTCTGTCTTTCTTTCCTCGTCTCTTAGTAGTAGTAGTAGTAGTACCACACTGACATAGTGATGTATCAGTACAGCCATGAAATCAGAGATCCTCTCCTTGAAATCCAATCGCAAGAGTTCACAGGTGACACATTCTATCCAGAGTAAAATCTCACCTGACCTCTAGTGATCCGATCACCTGAGACAGATAATATCCGGGCCTAAGTGAAACTAACTAGCAGAGGTACTCTTTAGTTTTCCTGAGAGGGAAGGTGATGTGTGTGCTTGACGATGAGCTCACAAAAACAGTCGTGAGAACAGATGAAGTTTGTACCTGTGGTCCAAGAAGAGGAATTTCCACTCTAAACTGTGTCTGGAGGTGAATTCCTCATTGGGCTCCTCCACAGTACACATTTCCTGTGGAACAGAGGTTATAAACAAGAGCGTTCTTTCTTATAAGCACATCTAGCAGACAAAAAACGAGAACAGAAACCAAGTGACCTACTTCTCACACTGAGTGTTATGCACGCTCTGTCATTTATCAGTGTGTTCAAAAACAAAGGCAATTCTTGCACAAACATGTACAGTGTCTATCAACACGCCCACACACATACATTCACCCCGTGTCAAGATGAATATGTACACAACAGATCTCACTGAGGTTGTCACTGTCTGTCAGGCAAATATTAGAAGTCACAGGACCAATGAGAAGGTGCCAAGTCGGCTTTGGCTCAACCTACCTTGATAAACTGAGGCTTGGCTAACTTCACAGTTGCTATGAAACACACTCGGTCTTCGAACATGGGCCTCAGCGATCGCTGGATCGCTCCCTCAAAGCAGTTACGTCTTGAGTTAGGCACTACAGAGGAAAAGACAAGCAAATCTTCATGAATGGAAGTGTTTTGAGAGAAAATAAGCAATAAGCTTATTTTCTTTAGCCTACCACTAGGGGGCAGCCCCTGCGAGGAAACGTCCAATACTAAATATTAATTCAGGTATAAGAAACTCTTTTGTATCGAAAACAGTACATTTCTGCAGTGTTGATTTTAAGACATAGCTTGTCTTTTGACAAAAATGTTGAATGCTGGAAAAAAATTTGACATTTAGTCTATCTTGTTCAATATCATGTTCATTCTTTCATTCATTTTTAGTCCATTTTACACTCAATGATATTAATAATAATAATAATAATAGAAAATTAAATATGATCATTGTTCTTTTTTATTATTATTTAGAGGAATTAATTTAAAGCCATACCTGTCACAAGTTAAATTACCATTCAAAATGTTTTTTTGTTTTTTTTAAGAATACTACCGTTTAAACTGGTCAAAAGTGACAGTAAACATGTTTATATTTATTCAAATTTTTTTTAATAATGTTAACAAAATGAACCCCCCCCCCCCAGTTTTTAACACTGATAATAATAATAAATGTATTAAGCATCTTGAGCATCAAATCAGCGAATTAGAAGGATCATAAATAATCTACAAAAATAGTATTAAAAATTGTTTTGCAAAAGGATGAAAATGTATCAAACTATGACAAACTGAACTTTTCCACCATTAAAAAATTATTAGTTAACTTTTCAAGCATACAAAGCATTTATTAACCTGAACTCCTGAAATAGAATGTAACGAGTATCCTAATATATTATCTATTTATTTAAAATGGTTTAATTATCATCACGGTGACTTTTTCATCTCATCTAATCCCTATTGTTGATAAATTCACTGACAGCATTAAACATTCCTGTATTTATTGTATATATTATTCTATATTATTTAAAGGTTTGAATACTCCCTCATCAACTACTGTATAATTAAGTCTATTTGTAGGTCGATTCCCCTGAAAAGTGTAAACACAGCGGCTCAGTACATATAACAATATATACAATTATATGTACTGATGCCTGTCAAATGGCCACAAACGGTCAACCTTCCATCTCAAAATCTGGGTCAGAAGCCTGTTTCTTTGGCACACTGGCTGTTCGCAACACTTCCTATTCAAATAATGATCCTTGCTCCATCTACTCTCATAAGAAGCACACGCAATCAAGCACTTGGCTGGGTAATTCAATAAATGGATCCATATGAAAGACTCGGCTGATGCTGCAGGCACTCGTTCTGACACTCACCTGTGTTGAGGGACTTAAAGTTTCCGATGAACTTGACATACTCATAAACGGGCGACTCTTTCGGGTCGATCGTGCCCCGGAGCATGTGGCAACAGAACTCTAACTGGTTCTTTGCTGCAGGGAAGCAAACAAAACAAAACAAAAACAAGAAAACAGCATTAATGAGCTCTTGTTTAGTGATCTGTGCTCAAAGAAATGAGACAATAACAAAGAGAGAGACAGACCAGAATAATTTTTGGGTCATGATGAGATGATAAAGGTGTAAAAACAGCATGTTTGTGAGGGATTCTTACTTTTTAGGTAGTCTGGCGTGAGGGTCTCTCCCTCCAGCATGTGTGTGGATAGAGCTTTATACACCTCTGAGTGCTCACCCAGTGGAAGGAAATTCAACAGATTCTGATCCACAAGATCAGACTGAAAACACAACAACAGACACAGTCAGTATCTCTCATACTTACACAGTAAAACTGTTCACATGCATAGCTAGTGGCTGCAGAGTTGTTGTGGTAACAAATGCATGGATGCAATATCAAACACTGTATTCATATCAGAATTGTGATACTGCTCATTTGAATATGGCTGTCGCTTAGTCAGCGGTCACTGAAGCCCAATCCACTCTTTTTCAATCCACTCAATTGCTGTCAGTGTGGTTAGGTTAAGAGGTTAGGAGTACACAAATAGTAGTTTAGAAATGTTATCAAATTAATTATTAGATTCAATATTTGCTTTAATACTTTGTCGCTGATTAATTTAGAGACCTAACATTTCACATTAAGTTATTTTGAGCTATTTTTCTAAAAAGTAACAACCATTCAAAAGTTTTGGGTTAGTATGATTTTTTTTAGATATACATTTTTTATTCATCAACAATGCATTAAATTAGTCAAACGTGACAGTAAAGCATTCATAATGTTCCAAAATATGTCAAAAGTTCTTTGGAATTTCCTTTTTCAGCATTGATGATAATAAAAAATGTTTCACGAGCGCCAAATCAGCATATTAGAATGATTTGGAGTAATAGCTGCTAAAAATTCAGCTTTGCCATCTCAGGAATAAACACATTTTAAAATATATATAGAACAGAAACTGTTATTTTAAATTGTAATAATATTTGACTAATTTTACTGTAATTTTGTTTAAATAAATGCAATGTGTTCATACTCACAGGTAGATGTTCTAATAAAGACGTGACACTTTCTGAGACGTAGATTATGTTTCCATCTGTCATGATGGCCAAAAAGAAGCCATCTAGAGCCTAAAAAATAAAGCAAATGAAGAATATCAATAATTCTGCAGTTTTAGTGTTTACTGAATGAATACACATAAGTAGGGGGATTAGGCAAATGTGTATGTATGAGTAAGTCCTCACCTCCAGCATCAGCTGTGTGAACTCCTCATTGCTAAGGAAAGGCGGCTTCCAGTCCTGACGGATTTCACTTGACTCGGACTGTGCAGCAATTTCTGATGGAAAGACAACACAAACAAGACTGAGGTTTCAAATACTGGACAAAGAACTAAAACATACAAGCTTTATTTCATCAGGTTAATATACTAAATACTTATTTATTTATAAATCTTTACTTTATATATAATAGAACATAATTATGTACCTTGTAATATCGGCTCGGTACGCTTTCAACTCGTTTTTTAGTCTCGAGCAAGACTGTACGACATTCACATTACATGATTTGACTGATTTTTATGTAGAAAGGGCGACAGCACACCGCATTAAAATAAATGATCATTCATGTTTTCATAACCGCTGGCCAAATTCAAAAGCGAAACTAAAATTAAATCATCTTTGAGAGCAAGAGGGCCCCTGGTGTTTCGGGGGCCCTACGCAGCTTGCGTATTTTGCGTATAGGGAGGATCGGCTCTGAATATAATATTATCACTTTTACCTTTTTAATATATTTTATTAATTTTATAATATTTTTATTTGCTATTACATTCCGTTTTCTAAAAGTTTTTAGCACTGCACCAAACTGTTCAATCTGTCAAGCACAAACACCACATTTAGAAATTACATCATCCATAAAAATGATGCCAAATGGAATCTGTCCAAATTTGTTTACTTTTTTTTTTGCTGTTGTTTGTACAATCTTTTGTGAAGACTGTTGTACTAATAATTGAATGAGCTACCACTTTTTGTCTACTATTGTCTTGTTGATTTCAGAAATACATACTCCTATATGTTAAGTGAAAAAAGCATACTGTGGTGGAGGTTTCACATGCCATTTTATATGTCATCAGACGGCTCCTTCCTGTCTAAGTGGGCGGCTCTTGGCTAGAATTCATCAATAGTAAACAGTATGGCTTGTGAAATCAACTTAAAGGGATCGTTCACCCAAAAATGAAAATTTGATGTTTATCTGCTTACCCCCAGGGCATCAAAGATGTAGGTGACTTTGAGAGTAAAAAAAAAACATACACAAACAAAACCAAATTAAACCCTGCGGCTCATGATGATACATTGATGTGTACAGACACGAAACGATCGGTCTGTGCAAGAAACTGAACAGTATTTATATAGTTTTTTACCTTTGATTTACTGCAATGTCCAAACTGTTCGCGTCTTCTTCTTCAGCCGGCGCGTGTCGCTTCTTCTGCTTCTTCTTGCTTTACGGCAGATCGCAGACTTGTAAGTGCATTATCGCCACATATCTCTCAAATGAACCATTGACACTCTATCTACAATCTCAATTAGGAGTGTCAATGGTCCATTTGAGAGATAGGTGTCTGCGATCTGCCGTCTGCCATAAAACAAGAAGAAGATGCGACACGCACCAGCTGAAGAAGAAGGGAACGTGCTCAGGACAGTTAGGACATTGCAGTAAATCAGAGGTAAAAACTATATAAATACTGTTCAGTTTCTTGCACAGACCGATCGTTTCATGTCTTTACACATCAATGTAACGTCACGAGCTGCAGGGTTTAATTTGGTTTTGTTTTGTGTATGTTTTTTTTTACTCAAAGCCGTAATTCCTATTCACTTCCATTATATGACTGACAGACTGCAACGGTTTGAGTTAAAAATCTTCATTTGTGTTCTACTGAAGAAACAAAGTCACCTACATCTTGGATGCCCAGGGGGTAAGCAGATAAACATCACATTTTCATTTTTGGGTGAACGATTCCTTTAAGTCACAGAAACCATAATTGATTGTAAAATATGAAAATAAAATGAAATAATTTTCTCTGTAATCGTTTCATTTTCTGTAGTATTTAAATGCATACTATTGCACCAATTTAGTTAACTACATCTTTGCTTTTTTCCTCAATATTTTCCTTTTAGGCAATGAAAATATTGAAATTACTTTCATTTTCGTAAAAAATTTACAAATTTGGTTACGATTATTTGGTATGGCACTGCAGTAACCTTTGTGCTTGCGCAGGAAGTCGATGCTCTTCTGTAGGATGGTAGACTTGTCCATCTTGCGGGTGTTGCCCGGCAGCATGGTGCCCAGTTCCTTGATGAGCACATTGAACTGGTCTCGCCTCTTCTTCTCCGACTTGTTCCTAGAAACTCTGTAGGTGGAAAAACAAGAGGTGGAAAATTCCAGTGGAAATCAATTGCTGACTTCCAGATAATAGAGTAATAACATAATTTAATCGCTATTTCAGAAGTTTTCGAAGTCACAGTTAAGCACTAAAATACACATCTTTTAATTATCTTAAATTCTACAATTTACTCCTCAAAATGATAATGGGATGCTATCTAATCTGAGAAAAATCTGGCAGTGCTGAGAGAAACCATTTCACGGTTCTGTGACTGTATACAGAAAATGAGGGTGAATCTGTGCACTCAGGTTTAAACAGTCATAACTAGGTCACACTTACGTTTCTATTCCTGGTGCAAAACCACTTTAGATCTACTACCATGAAAAAGGACTTGTCTATACAATCCTCTGGTGTAATAAATCATGTTTAAACCCCTCTTGCATGAGATAAAAGAATAAAGGGTTGGCTCATAACAGGAGTTCGACTCAAGGTAAAAGAAAGGAAATTCCCGTTTAGGAATCATAATAATAATCAATGTTTTGCTTGTCTAATTACCTTTTTGCTTTGTCCTTATCATCTTCTTCCATCAACCCATCAAAGATGCTGCTGTCATCCCTGAAAAGAGAGCCATAGTAAAAGAGGTTACGCCAGCTTGACCAATGCGAACTCTGCTCAGCTGTGTGAGTTGCCAATTAAAAGACAGTTTCACTCCTCATCTGTTCCAGTGTTTGTAATCACAACAGCATTCATTATGTTAACATTTTAATATTTGAGGCTGAACCATTTATTCAATGGGATTGTCTCTCGAAAATTAGCAAGGCACCAAGGCTTTCAAGCTTCAAAAAGGACACAATAAGTCTAAAGTCATATACAGGTGTATCTCAATAAATTAGAATGTCGTGGAAAAGTTCATTTATTTCAGTAATTCAACTCAAATTGTGATACTTGTGTATTAAATAAATTCAATGCACACCGACTGAAGTAGTTTAAGTCTTTGGTTCATTTAATTGTGATGATTGTTAAGCCACTCCTGAAACACAGACAACGTCAGAGCCAAATTCCTTACCTGGGCTAAGGAGAAGAAGAACTGGACTGTTGCCCAGTGGTCCAAAGTCCTCTTTTCAGATGAGAGCAAGTTTTGTATTTCATTTGGAAACCAAGGTCCTAGAGTCTGGAGGAAGGGTGGAGAAGCTCATAGCCCAAGTTGCTTGAAGTCCAGTGTTAAGTTTCCACAGTCTGTGATGATTTGGGGTGCAATGTCATCTGCTGGTGTTGGTCCATTGTGTTTTTTGAAAACCAATGTCACTGCACCCGTTTACCAAGAAATTTTCTTCATGCACTTCATGCTTCCTTCTGCTGACCAGCTTTTTGAAGATGCTGATTTCATTTTCCAGCAGGATTTGGCACCTGCCCACACTGCCAAAAGCACCAAACGTTGGTTAAATGATGGTGTTGGTGTGCTTGACTGGCCAGCAAACTCACCAGACCTGAACCGCATAGAGAATCTATGGGGTATTGTCAAGAGGAAAATGAGAAACAAGAGACCAAAAAATGCAGATGAGCTGAAGGCCACTGTCAAAGAAACCTGGGCTTCCATACCACCTCAGCAGTGCCACAGGCTGATTGTCTCCATGCCACGCCGCACTGATGCAGTAATTCATGCAAAAGGAGCCCCTACCAAGTATTGAGTACATGTACAGTAAATTAACATACTTTCCAGAAGGCCAACAATTCACTAAAAATGTTTTTTTATTGGTCTTATGAAGTATTCTAATTTGTTGAGATAGTGAATTGGTGGGTTTTTGTTAAATGTGAGCCAAAATCATCACAATTAAAAGAACCAAAGACTTAAACTACTTCAGTCTGTGTGCATTGAATTTATTTAATACACGAGTTTCACAATTTGAGTTGAATTACTGAAATAAATTAACTTTTCCACGACATTCTAATTTATTGAGATGCACCTGTATATGATAGTTTTGTGAGTTTAAATCATTATTTGCTAATAGTGAATCTTCAAGGCAGTGTTATTTTAGTATCATTTAGATAGTTTTATTAATATAAAAAAAAACAAATCTGTTTTCAATTTAATAATTTTAACATTAAACAATTTTGTTGTGTGTTGTCATTTTGTATTAGTTTATTCATTTTTATTTCAGTATTACTTTTATACTTACTTTAGTGTATCAATTTAAACAAAAAAAATGGCATGCTGTCTGGCAAATAGCTGAAATAAAATAAATGTAAATAAATTTATTTTTATTTCAAGTAACTTTTATTGCTTTTTATTGTTTTAAGTAACTTTTATTGTGATTTTAGTTTTTCATTTAATGTTAAAAAATTACTCATGTTATTCCAAACACATAAGACTAAAATTCTGAACTGAAGCTTCAAGAAGCTTCATAAAGACATAGTAAAACTAATCCACATGAATCAAACACTTTAATCCAAGTCTTCTGAAGAGACACAATGACTTTATATGATGATTATATGATTCTATGACTTTATATATGACCAGATTTAATTTAGACTTTCATTCACATATACACCTTTAGAAGCTGTTGGAATGAACTTTCAGTGGAGAGACAAAAATCTCTTAGGTTTCATTGTGTATCGAAGATAAACAAAGTCTTATGTGTGTGGAATGACATGAGGGTGAGTAACTGATAACAGAATTTACTCTTTATCTCTTTAACTGCTGAAACTGAATCATTGAGTCAGAACTAAAGAACCGGTTTTGTGAACTGCATCGACAGATTCACTGAAAAGATCCAACTCAAAAGAACAATTCATTCCTGAATCAAATATTGTTGACACATGAACTTTTCTGAACCTTTCTGTTCCCATTCATTGTAATTGCATGGAAAAGAGTAACTCAAACAATCTCCAACATTTTGTGTTTCACAGAAAAAATACAATCACACAGGTTTGGAACCACATGAGGGTGAGTAAATGAGCAAGTTAATGAGGAAAATGTGCAAGCCTTTTCTTTTGACACCCCACAATACTTAATCATAATCAGATCATGCAATAAATCATTGATTAAGCCGGCAGTTGGTCAGCGGCGGAGGTGGATATAAAGGCCTGTAAGGGCGCTGTGTGTGTCAGTATACAGTGCCGTGAAAAGGTTTTTGCCCCCTTCCTGTTTTGTTTATTTTTTGCATATTTGTAACACGTAAAAGATTCAGATAACCAAACCAATTTTAATATTACGCAAAGATAATGCAAGTAAATACAAAATGCAGTTTTTAAATGATAATTTCATTTATTAAGGGAAAAAAGCTGTCCAAACCTACCTGGCCCTACGTGAAAAATTAATTGCCCCTCCTCTTAAATCATGAAAGAACTGTGATTAACAACATCATTTTAGAAAACTGAGTTACATTTTACATTGTTACATTGATTACAGCCAGACCTGTTGAATCAAGAAATCACTTAAATAGAACCTGTCTGACAAAGTAAAGCATGCTGAAAGGCTTGTCTCACATTTGCCAAAAAATATCTTGTTTATCCCTAAGACTTTTGGGCAAATATTCTGTGGACTGATGAGACAAAAGTTGAACTTTTTGGAAGGTGTGTGTCCCGTTACATCTGGCGTAAACCAACACAGCATTTCATAAAAAGAACATCATACCAAGAGTCAAACATGGTGGTGGTAGTGTGGTGGTCTGGGGCTGCTTTTGCAGCTTCAGGACCTGGGTGACTTGCCATAACTGATGGAACCATGAATTATGCTCTCTATCAGAAAATCATGAAGGAGAATGTCTGGCCGTCAGTTTGTGACCTCAAGCTCAAGCGCACTTGGTTTATGCAGCAGGACAATGATCCAAAACACACCAGTAAGTCCACCTTTGAATGGCTCAAGAAAAACAAAATTAAGGTTTTGGAGTGGCCAAGTCAAAGTCCAGACTTAAATCCGATTGAGATGCTGTGGCATGACCTTAAACAGTCCATTCAAGCTCAAAAACCCTCCAATGTGGCTGAATGAAAACAATTCTGCAAAGAAGAGTGGGCCAAAATTCCTGTGAAAGACTCATTGCCATTTATCGCAAACGCTTGATTGCAGTTGTTGCTGCAAAGGGTGGCACAACCAGTTATTAGATTTAGGGGGCAATTACTTTTTCACGTAGTGCCAGGCAGGTTTGGACAGCTTTTTCCCTTAATAAATGAAATCATAATTTCAAAACTGCAGTTTGTATTTACTCAGGTTATCTTTGTGTAATATTAAAATTAGTTTGATGATCTGAATCTTTTAAGTGTGACAAATATGCAAACAATTAAAAAAAACAGGAAGGGGGCAAAACCTTTTTAACACCACTGTATATTTAGATACCCAGTATTCTCTGACTGACCGCTTTGAGAGCACAAGACAGAAAACGAGACCAGCTGGTCATGGCAAGGGAACTGAAATCAGTTTGTAACGGTCGTGATTGGGCTTTGATTTCATGACTGATGTCACAGCAGCTTCTCAGCTCCAAAGCAGTATGGGTTTGAAATGACAAGGGGTTGAGCAAATGGCAGCTTTCATTTCTGGATGAGCTCTTTAAGGTCATCTCAACACGACACAATATTTTTAGTATTTTTTAGCCTAGAGATAATTGGTCTTTTGCACAGGGTGTACAAAATGTGCGTCTGTCTCTGGAAGCGCAGAGATCACAATGACCTTTCATTTGGTGCGTGTAAGTACAGTGATGCACGCACACGATCGAATGAGTGTTTTTATGTGTGCAAGACGAGATGCAAGTCAACCGTATGAATGTGTATTTGCAAAGTTGCAAGATTAAAGAGTGCAAACAACAGACTGGGTAAATAAAACAGTGTGCATTTTGCTCTGCCACTGGGTGTCCATTACCACAATTTTACATAAACAATTCAGAGTTTTCCTCAGTCCATTTGCATCAAGGGTTGTGGGTGTGTGACTACGTGTTTGCATAAGGAAGCACCCGCTGCTCTAATAATGCCATATTATATGGTCAGTTTTATTGCTGTATGTGAAAACTGCATTTTCAATTAAAATATGAAGTGACACAGGAAATAGAAAAAGAAAATAAAGGGAAAAATTAAGAAAACAATGTCTAACATCTATTGCTGAGTACAAAAATTACATTGACGTCAACTGATTTGGCTGCCAAACAAAAAGATATTTATATCTGCGCTGTGAAATTCAAAGCCATCTGCTCGAAATGGTGGGCGCGTACAATACGAGGAGGTAAGATTGGCTAACATAATTTAATTAGGACAATTAAGAGAAAAGGAGTCAGAAATTGCCATTATATTTCCTCAATTTCAGTTTGTCCTTGAAAAAAAAAGTTGTAAGCCAATAGGCCTTAGTTTACACTAGTTTGGGGTTGGTAATGACCTAATTCTTTAATCTTACTTGTGCTCATCAAGTCTTTATTTGCTCAAAAATAAAGCAAAAACAAAAATATTTTTAAAAAATCAGTACAGTTGAAAATAACCGATTTCTATTTGATCACATTTTAAAATGTAATTTATTCTTGTGATGGCCAAGCTGAATTTTCAGCATCATTATTCCAGTCTTCAGTGTCACATGATCCTTCAGAAATCATACTAATATGCTGATTTGCTGCTCAAGAAACATTTATTATTATCAA